TGAGCTCTTAACAAGAAGTTGTGTAACATTGAATACTATTTCTTTATTTCTCTGCCTTTGTGTTCTATGTTTTGGTTTACTTTTCTTTGTTTTAAGATGGCGTCGGAGAGTGGCAATACTGTGCAACACTTTTCGCTGCATTTTGTAAAAAAACACACATGGCAATAAATAAATAAATAACATGTACCTATTCTTCCAGAAAACCAAACATCAGTAATACAAAACTAAACTAAAAACGAACACTTTCTGTTTGTAAACTCTAATAAACAAAAGACTGGGGTGCGTACGTGTGTGTATCTGTGCGCACAGACCATACAGGGAAATTATTTATGAGCATTAACTTAGTAACAGAAACAAATAATAAACAAATTAAGTATCCATCAAAATCAACCCATAATAGACTTATTTTCTAAGTATTAGGTTTAGCCTGCATGTGGCAGAAATTATTTTAATAAAGATGGATGTCTGCTATATTGAACAGTCTGCACACAAAATCCTATCCTCAGGATTTGCAGTTTTCAAAGCTCCTTTTTCCTTTAATTTCATTGAGTATCAGTAATTACGTGGAAAATGCCAAATCTTCCCTTTCCTATTGCACAGGGAGTTTTGATTCGTAGCTGGTTTGATTTTCAAGTGAAAATGATAGCTTGTTAAAAATTCACTGCATTGCTCATTTAGCAACCATCTCAATCATCTTTATAATTACATTGAATGTACAAGAAAGGAGAATTCATTTGCTTTCTGCTTTAATTTTGAACAGTGTGAGCTTCTGATCAAACAGCATCTTCGCCTATTCACATACAAATCAAAACGAGGTTTTTGTGCCAATAATGCTTATGTGTTAAAGTATTCTTGTGAAGGGATTACTGACAAATCCTCCTTAATTAACTGTTATAGAGAATGGAGCTAAATATGTCTGCCTGTTATCTGTTTTTATTGTTAATTTTATTCAGCTTACTTATACTGGGAGTAATTGCTCAAGCCATTTCTTCACTCCTAAGGATAAGAACTGTAACATGACACATTGTGGATAGGAATGGTGGACAGCATGACCCCAGTACAATTTATTGTGCTTGGAGGCTGAGGCTTGAGATTAATTAGATATGCAAGACAATATCCTGGTTATTCAGTGTGAACTCAAGTGCTGAGAGAGAAATTGAATATGCTGCTGAAGCTATTTTAAGGGATACAGCAACAAAGTGGGTTTCACTTGCTGATCCAGCCTGTCAGAAGCTAATTTATCTTTTGGGATTAGTTTCAGTACAAATCTGAGCCATTCAAAGCCAGTGACCCAGGTAATTGCAATGGTAATCAGGTTAAGGGTCAATAGTCAAGAGAAGAACTAAAAATACTTCATACTTGATGAGTCTTCACATTCCTATGTGGAAATCTGCAATTAGAGTCCACAACTATCAAAAGTATAATCGGTTGACCACAGACTGGGAGGAAATCTGAGCAAAGAGGCAAACAATCCTAAAATTTTGCAAGAATCGCAAATCACCAACAAACTCAACATCATCCATTTCAACAATTCTGACTAAGACTTTTAATTAGTTAAAATCATTTGTTTGCATTCAGACTTCACAACAGGGTCCTTGAAATGGTTTGGGCTATGATCTTATTGGCTACTGCCACAAAAAGGCAAATTAGGAGCAGGAGTAAGCCATTCAGCCCCTCGAGCCTGTTCCTTCATCCCATTAGATGATGGCTGTTGTGATTGTGGCCACAGCACACTTCCCTGGCTAACTCTGATAACCTTTGACCCCCTTGTTTATCAAGAATCTATCTGCCTCAACCTTAAAAATATTTAATGACCCTGCTACCACCAATTTAAATTGAGTTCCACAGATTTGTGACCCTCTGAAAGAAGAAAAATTCCCCTCATCCTCCCTAATTAGCAGAGACACCTTATTTTTATGCTAGTTCTCATCTCTCCTACAAGAGGAAACAATCCTTCCACTCTGTCAAATTCCCTCAGTGTTTTATATGTTCAAGAAGATCACCTCCCATCCATCTAAACTCCAATGAATACAGACTTAATTGTCCAACATTCCTCTTAGGAGAACTTCTTTAGCTGAAAAATGAGGCAAGTGAATCTTGTCTGAACTGTTTCAATTGCAATTGCTCCCTTTATTCTTAACAAAACTGGATACATTACTCCACATATCATCTCATTAATGCCCTTACTTTTGCATTCTATATTTGAATTGTACTCTTTCAGTAAATTGGGGACAGTGAAAACGAGCCTCATTTCCCTGGGTCAAGCAGCTACAAATGCTACCTTGGATTCAATTTCTCAACAATCCTCATTCAGTGGTTTGCTGTCTGTGTGTGTTTTGCTGCATGTGACTGTTTTTCAAACGTAATCTATTCGTAGTAAATTGTTTCAGAGGATGTGATAGGGAGCTAGGTAAATACAAGAGATTTCATGTGATGCCATCATGTAAGCACAAGAGTAGGAAATGCTTATTGATCAGCTCAGTGTACATGTGAATTGGCGTTGGTTAGCTCAGTCGGCTGGACAGCTGCTTTGCAATGCACAGTATTGCCAATAGTGTGGGTTCAATTCCCATACCGCCTGAGGTTACCGTGAAGGACTGTCCTTCTCAATCTCTTCCCCCTCGCTTGAGGCAGGGTGACCCCGTGGTTAAACGAACGACAGTTGTCTGACACCCTAACGAGACAGTGAGCCTATGGTTCAGTAGGATTATGTTGACTTTATCATTACGTGTGAATTACTGTGAAAATTGAGCACATAAGAAGTTATAGAAGTAAAAACCAAGTCAGGCCAATGATGCTGGTGAATCCATCACAAGCTGATCCAGTTGACTGATGAATTCATGGAATCAGGACAGTCTTCTCACCACTTATAGGTTTCATCTGTAGGGCAAGACTGAATTGGGACTGAACCAGGTATGCCAGCATTTTGACAAATTATAAATTGCATGATGGTGGGATAGGGAAGATCATGGTGATGATGGAATACACATCTGGGAATTATATTGAACTATCTTCGCCATCGCCACCAGATTGCACCAATGACTTGTTTAGCCACAACTGGCCTGTATTTTACATCTAGTGGTTAGCAAACAATGCAAGTTCCATTAGTGAGCCACTAATGTTATGTATTAAGAACATTTATCTGGGGAGACGCAGCACATTGGATTTTGTCTTCTTGAATCTATTGCTCAATATTCTAGAAAATTAATCTTTAAGTTCAGAAAAATATTTCAGCCAGTTGGCACTGGATAATAAGCTTCCAATGTTTCTAAGTGTAGGGGCATTTTAGGTGAACCCTTCTCTTTCTAATGGCTACAAGATTTACTGAATTCAACCATTCCAATGTGATTCATTTTATAGATACTATAGACTGAATATGAATTGATGTGCCAAATTGCTGCAATCATTACTCCCACTGCAGAACCAAACTAAAGTACAAACTTTAAAATTAAATGATCAAAATTCTTCATGCAACTTTAAAAGTGGCACACGGAATAAATTCAACACTGGGTAGTTGTGACTATTGAAAGCCAAACTTCAAAACCTAGGGCTCGGTGTAGCATTATCCTTCGTGAATTCCCTAGCATCAATATCCTAGAACATAGCTTCCCAAACTGTGGGTCAATCTTCAGTTGAGATCCTGAAATTGTAAGCTCTGAGGCAGCAGGGCTTCCAATACTCTTTTCACATGCCTCCAACGCTTATAACACCATTTCTCCCCGCAGACCCACAGTTATGCAATTCTCCCTGTGGGATCATGGCAGCTTGAGTTTGCAATGGGGTCATATTGGAAAAAAAGGTTGGGAAGATTGATTCTAGGGATTACTATTGAGCAGATACTTTAAAACAACTATGTAAATATTGTGTCTACCAGAACAGATCAGAGGCTGGGTATTCTGAAATGAGTGGCTGACCTCTGTCCTGGAAAGGTTCACCCTCTCCATAGCCCACGTCTGGACTTTGATGGATGCTTGGTTCAGTCAGCTCCGAAAACACCGAAGAAGCTCAACACCATTCAGGATAAAGCCACCTGCTTGAATGGTACCCCATTCACCCAAACCCCTCTCAATCACTAATGTCATTTAAACACCAGTGCATTAAGATTCACTAAGTGAGCTGTTTATTCGGAAATCTGGTGCAAACATGGTAGGCTGAATGGCCTTATTATACACTGTAACAACTCTGTGATTATGGCTGCATTTGTATGTGCTCCAGAAACTTACCAAGCCTTTTTTTTCTGACAACATCTGCCAACCTGTTACCTCCACCATCAAGAAGGACAAAAGCAGCAGATGCACGAGAACAGCGAAATCCTCCAAGCCGCACACCATCCAGACTTGGAATTATATCACTGTTTCTTCAGAATTACTGGATCAAAATCCTGGACCTCCCTATGGACGTACCTAAACCCCTGGGCTGCAGCTATTCAAGAAGGTAGCTCACCACAACCATCTCAAAAGCAACTAGGCACAGGTAATAAATGCTGGCCTTGCCAGGGAATGTACACCTTTCTCAAAAATAATGTTAAAAATGTAAGTAAAAATAAGCAAATTGAAATGAGACGCAATGCATGAAATTGACATGACTAATGTAATCTTCAACATGACCTTCCCTGTTCATTTACAGTGTAATTTCCATGCCTGGCGCCTTGCTTTATTTCAAACCTGACACACACATACATTCAGCAGATTTTGTGTGGGAGCGTAATGATGTTGTTGATAACTTAATGATTTAAGTGCATACTGTGCAAGTGACAAGTATCAACATGGAGAAGACTGGTGTATGAACTTGGCATGTTGCAGCAGACTATAGAAAACAATGCTGTTCATTTTCATGCAATGAAACTGAATGCATTTGACAATGCCATTTCTGATTCCTGATCCACTGTTATTTCCTGGCAGTTACTTCACTTCAGGTCTCCCGGTGTTTGGAAACCCTCTCCCATTTGAGCACCATTCCCTGGTGACCTTAGCGAAAATAGTAGAAGAAATTAAACTCACCATTAAATTCTGCCAACCTACACATATCTGCTCCGAGCTCTGAAGTTACTGGCAGTGCTTGTCGAACTTTCAAATTGGTTTCCCTGTTTGAAGAAGTCAGAAGAATATAATGTTATCATTGTGCACAAAACAGACACAGAAACATGCTTTCAAATTAAGCATTTTTAAAGATGCATTACAATTTTGAACACACAGATGAAGAACCAAATTATTCCTAACGTGGCATGTAGTTGCAAGTGATATTTTTAGATACTTTCTAATCAATCTATTCAGAGACATTATTACATGCCTCTGGAGCAGCTGGATCTTGAACCGAGGCCTCCCAGCTCAGAGGTATGGATGATACCACTGCACAACCAGAGTTTAGTACAAAATATCTTGGTCTTTGAAGGGTTAAAATTACAGTAAGAAAGCTACATTCTACCTATCCTATAGAACACTGCCCCATAATCGCTGTCCTCAATCAATATTTACATAGTAAAAAACATACTTTAAACTGCATTGATCCTCTGGCTTACTCTTGTCTGAGTCAGAAAGTTGTGGGTTCAAGACCCTCATCAGAGTCTTTGGGCACAGAACCGAGCCTGACACTTCAGCAGAGATCACATTAAATAAACTGAGGATCTCTCAGCCTGTTTCAGTGCAGTAAAACAACAACTTATTTTCATATAGTGCCTTTAGCGTAACAAAACTTTGGAGATAAGCCAGTGGGTTATAATTAGAGGAGTGCAGCTGGTGCGGAGCATCTTGGGGCTGAAGGAGATGAAAGAGATAGGGAGGGGTAAGGCCATGGTGAGATTTGCAAAGAAGGAGCTGCTGGAATGGGAGATGAGGAAGCTCAGGAGTGACAGGTAAAGGGGGCTTGTTGTGAATTAAGACACAGGCGTCAGTGTTTGAATGACCTCAAGTTTAGGCAAGATATAACGTGGGGGACCAGCCAGGAGTGTATTGGAAGAATTGAATGTCGGAGGTAACAAAGACACAAACGAGGTTTGCAGCAGTTGAGCTAAGACAGGAATGAAGTTGGGTGATCTAATTGAGGTGAAAATAGACAGTTATAGAGATGACTAGAGTATGAGGACTGAAGCTCACCCTGAGATCAAATGTGACTGTTTTACAAATACTGGGCTCCTGAAGGCAGTTATGTTCAAACTGTCTCCTTTAATTCGAGGTAAAATGGAGTAATGTGGAAAGGTGAATGTGACCTCATCCTAAATCCTTCTGGAGACAAACCTGTGTGATCTGCTTGATATGGAGGCAGAATCTCAAATGAAATCTTATTCCATGTTAGATGCAGGTTTTAACACTTGGACACAAGGAGGGGATAGTTGGTCCTGCTGCTGCCCAAACTTTGAAGAGGCAAGAAATTTGAGAAAAGAAGATCCATAACAGATGCTGCTATGTCACACAGGAAGAAAAAAATTTCTTTTGCATTAACTACCACTCAGTGTTGGTGAGGACAGATTCCCAGTTCAAAGAAACAAAGGTAATGAACAGTTACAGCCACAAAGTCGCCACCATTCGAATCAGAGATCCCCAGAGTATGGAAAGAGGCTATTCGCCCCATTGAGTTGCACTAATCCTCCAAACAGCATCCCACCCAGACCCAGCCAGTGTTCCCTATAAGCCTGCATTTCCCATTGGCTAATCCACCTTGCCTGTACATCCTTGGACATTTGAAGGCAATTTAACATGGCCAATCCATCTAACCTGCACATCTTTGGACTGTGGGTGGAAACCCATGCAGACATGGGATGAACATGCAAACTCCACACAGACAATACCCAAAGCTGGAATCAAATGCAGGCTCCTGGCACTCTGAGGCAACAGCGCTACCTACGGAGCCATCATGCCACCCTGGAAATCCATTTAAGCACACTCAAAAGATTGAGTGGAAAAACTTTTTGTTTAAAAGGTACTGGAGATTTACTCCAGTGGGACAATGCAAGGGGATTTTATTAACACTGGGAGAAGCTTGGGACTTTAAACATAAGTCCACATTTCTGCTGATTGTGCAGTGTAATGTACAAATGTGATGTGTAGTTTTTGGTTGGGTTAAGACGGTAATAGAGATTACCTGCTTTGTTGTTTACTGTGTTCGCTACCTATTAAGTAATATCTAGCCAATGTTGTTATTTTGCTTAAGTAAAAAAGTGGAATATTGTCATGAAATCCTTTGTTTCATATCAGTTTTAAATTCATATCACTTTCTAAAAGTTATCAGTCTCTACAGGGATTGTAACAATGACACCAAGATTGCAAACAGAGCAGTTTAATGTCTCAGACTGTTGCCAGGATGAGAGATGGTGTCAGTAGCTATGGAACAGAGTTTGGAATGAGGATTGAAAATAATGGCTCCAGACTTCTCACTATTAACCTGAAAACATTTCTGCTCATACAGGACTCAATGCTGGACAAGCTGTCCCTCAGCAATAGTGGAGATGACAAAAGAGGTAGTAATGAGATGGTGCACACTTAACAATTTCATAGTGGAGCAGCCTAATATTCAACCTTCATCCCTCAAACAACATCCACTAACATTGTGCTGCTTCTGGGGAATTTGCAGGGCACAAACTGTCAGTTATGCTTCTGACATTACAAGAGAGATTACATACTTCAGAGGGACTTTATTACCTGTAGAGTGTCTGAGGGCATTAGAGATGATACATAAATACAGTCTCTTTCATCGTTTCCCTATTAATGCTCAGATTTGTGACTTGTTTTGAAGTACAAATATACTAACTCTCTCACCTATTTAAACAGTGAAAATAATTTCCAAATAGTGACTGCAACAACTAGTTACAGTCACCAGGTGGCTCCACTTTACAAGTACTGGTCTCACGGGCACTTAAAAGCTAAGACCCAATCATTGTACAACAGAAATGACCAGCTTTTACAGTAACCAGCTAAAAACTCAGTCTTGCCTTGAACTAAGTATGGCCTAGAGGTATTATTGCTGGATAATGCATCCAGCAACTCAGCTAATGTTCTGGGGACCTGGGTTCGAATCCCACCATGGCAGGTAATGGAATTTGAATTCCAGGAAAGAATCTGGATTCAAGAATCTACTGATGACCATGAAACCCTTACCAACAAAACCCATCTGGCTCACTAATGTCCTTCAGAGAAGGAAATCTGCCAATTTAACCCGGTCTGGCCTACATGTGACTCCAGACCCACAGCAATGTGGTTGACTCTCAACTGCCCTCTGAAATGGCCTAGTAAGCTAGGGATGGGCAACAAATGCTGGTTCTGCAGCGATGCCAGTGTCCCACGAGTGGATTAAAGAAAGGTCAGACACAACTTTAAAATGTGCAGCTGATGAAAAGTGAAGTGGCACCGAGGGAGGGAAATGCTACAAGAAAAGGGCGGCCACCATCAGCAACTGGAACTCGATGCCTGTAATTGCCAACTTGCAGATCAAAGTAACATAGACAATAGGAGCAGGAGTAGGCCACTCAGCCCTTCAAGCCTGCTCCGCCATTTAATGTGATCATGGCTGATCATCCGACTCAATGCTTCCTCCTCATACCCTTTTCTTCAGCCCTAAGAACTACATCTAACTTCTTCTCAAAAACATGTAATACAGTTTGGCTTCAACCACTTTCTCTAGCAGAGAATTCCACAGGCTGAGATGAAAGCAGAGGAAATTTCTCTCCATCTCGGTCCTAAATGGTCTACCCCATATCCTTACGCTGTGGCCCCTGGTTCTGGACTCCTCGGTCAAGGCGAACATCCATTCCCAAAGTCTAACCTGTCTGAAATCTGCCTTGATCTTTATCAAGGATGGCTGACCATTTCAAAATCCTCTGCAAAGATTATTTTACAAAAGGCAGCAATAAAACCTGATGGTAATGGTAGGGGTGGAGAAAAGAAGGATGTTGCATGTATGATTCCAGTAAAGAGCTAAGCAAATCATCAAGTTAATTCTGTAGAAAGTCAGTTCTAAAGAAGGGTCACTGGACCCAAAATGTTAACTCTGACTTTTCTCCACAGATGCTGCCAGACCTGCTGAGAATATCCAGCAATTTCTGTTTTTGTTTCTGATTTCCAGCATCCGCAGTTCTTTTGATTTTTTTTATCAACTGAACTCTGCATGGTTTGATGCACTTAAAATTCCATATGTTTGGGTAGGTTGAAGGAATGAAGGCATGGAATGAGTATTCCAGTCAGTAGGAGCTGCTTCATCAAACACCACAGAAGAAAATTTTCTGTGCACAAATCTTCTGGTGTTGTTTCTCTCTCTCTAGCAAAAATCTGATTATTCCTTTTAATTGAGAACAAATGAAATATTCAAATAGCTTTCTCTCCAATCTCATTTCATGTCTGGAATACAATTCATGTCATAAAATTAATAGTTCCTGTCCCAGATACTTTTTTTGGTCTTGCTCACCTTCTCCTAATTGCAGCTCCTAATATTATTATTTATTAGGGCAACATTTCTACGTAGGACCCATCTCTCGTTGTATATTCTGAAGTCAATACGGTGCATGTGTCAACTTTCCAATCAGATTTGACATTCCTGAGAATTTTTGCAAATTCTCAGCAAAGTACAAAATAATGAGCAGACCTTCACACTGGCCTTTCTCAGGATTTGCATCATGTTTCCACCTTTTCTGTAAAGCTTATACCTTCATGTTGTAATGCTAAAAATGTATCAATCTGTGCACCATAAGATCCCATTAACAGTGATGTGATCATAACCAGACAATCTGCTGTACATAGTGGTGGTGGAGGGATAAACTTTGGCCTGAACACGAGGTGCACTCGGTATCATGGTTTGTTTCATATCCAGGTGAAGGGGGCAGTTGGAGCCTCAGTTTAACCCTTCGATTGACCAACATTAACATTGCTGCACTTCCTCGGTCTTGCACTGAAGTATTGGTACTCACATCTCCACAGTGGGACTCGAGCTCACAACCTTTTGACTCAGAGCTGTGTGTGTCGCCACCGAGTTATCGTTTCAAGTGCACATTTAGCGCGGACAAAAATTCATAGCTAGTGGAATCAATATTATATCATATAGACATGTATTATGAAGGCTTTCCAAAAATGGTCCATATGGCAGGCACAAGTGTCGAGAAGAAAGGAACAGTGAGAAAATAAATAGAAATGCCTTGTGATTTGGGAATAAGAGTATGAGGAACTTCTCAGTGCAAATCTGGAGATCCCATGTTTGACTCACAGAACCAGGATGATTCCTGCTCACATCACTCATTGGACTGGTTTCACTAATAGTGGCCTGGGCTAGGAAATGTAATGCCAGCTACAGCAAGCTATTTGTAAAAAAAAAATTCTGAACAAATAGGCAGACTTACTATCTCCCAAACACATCTCCTGATGGCCTTCACGACTCACTGCAGATCACAAAATGTCTGTGGCCTAGACATCTTCAATTCTCATAGATGGAGGAAAACATTGGGGGTTGAATTGTGTTGAATGTATACCTTGCCTTGAAGAGAGCTCGCCTTTAAAAACTACACGTGCTGTGTATATACAATGCTGTGAATCTGCCTTGCAGTTTTTCTGCTGTGGGTTCGCAAGCCGTACAGAAATCGGTCGGTTTGCCTTCATGTTTGTTTCATAACTTTTAATGTGTTTATTGCTTCAAATAAACTAATGCATGGAGTTCAGTTCTGCGGAAGGGTCACTGGAACCGAAAAGTTAGCTTTGTTTTTTCCTTCACAGATGCTGCCAGACCTGCTGAGCTTTCCCAGCAACTTTGTTTTTGTTCCTGATTTATAGCATCTGCAGTTCTTTTGGTTTTTACTTAATGCATGGAGTTAATCATTCTCTGATGAGCAATTGATTATTAGACTATTAACACTGACAACGTGACACACTGAATTTCGTCTGTAACAGAGGAGGAGTGGAGTTGTAAGTGCTTTCTTTAAAAAGGGGTTTACAATAGATGCCCCATTTAAGGAATGTTCTCGTCGCTGTGGCAACTTTCACACATTGATGGAGAAGCGTTGGGGTCTGGGCGAGGAGAGAATGAATTCACTTTGTTTGTTAAAGATGTATAAAGATGCAACATTGCAAGCTGTGGAATATCTGCCAGTTACAAGGCTACGTTACATTTTAGCGATTCCACCAAGCATTAAATTGCTTGCCGTCTCTAATTAACAGATTCAGTTTAGTTTGCAAGTTAAATTGATATTGCTGGATTGGACATAGATCCCAGACACTTACCCATCAAGCTCTGCTGTCTCAACGTAACCAAGACCGTGAGGTTCGCTACTTGACAGCAGCAACAGATCAGCCTGAAAGGTGATGTAACGAGTGAAGGTTAAGAAAATACATCAAATGAAATCATATTTAATCAGAACACAGTGGATTAGCATTCTGAACCTGCAACACTGCTTCCATATACATTTAAGGACATAAGAAATAGGAGCTGGAGTAGACTACAAAGTCTCTCAGGCCTATTTGGCCATTCAATATGAACACGATTGATTGTTGGTCTCAGTTCCACTGTCTTGCCTGTTCCTCAGATCCACCGATTCCCTGAGAAACTGTCTGTCTCGGTCTTAAATACCACGGAGAACCCACAACACTCCAAAGATTTGAAACCCTTCCCAATGTCGAAAATTCTCAGCTGGGTCCTAAAAGATTGGACCCTCAGCCTGAGAATGTGCCCTGAATTTCAAGACTCCCTAGCCAGGGGAAAGCTACCAGGGCTAGGCTCCTGGAGAATCATGTGACTTCAATGAGATTACCTCTCATTCATTTACACTCCAGAAATAGCATAGGCCAAAGTTACACAGTCATTCATTACAGGACAACCTTCTCATCCCATAATTAATCCGATGGGCTTTCGATACATTGCCTCCAACACGAGTTTCGCCTCCCTTGCATAAGGAGGCTGAAAGTGACAGGTATGGTGTAACCAAAATTGTACCAACTTTTCATTCATAAAAACGGGCAGCGAAATTCCTCTGATATAACAACGTGAAGAGCTGGATGAACTCACCAGGCCAAGCAGCATCAGAGGTGCAGGAAGGCTGACATTTCGGGCCTAATTTTCTGAAGAAGGGTCTAGGCCCGAAACGTCAGCCTTCCCGCTCCTCTGATGCTGCTTGACCTGCTGTGTTCATCCAGCTCTACACCTTGTTATCTCAGATTCTCCAGCATCTGCAGTTCCTGCTATCTTTGAAGCAAAATTCCTCTGATGGAGTGGCAAAGTGAATAGAAAGTTGGAAAAATCGCTGGAGGACTTAACTAAAACTTGAAAGAATAATGTTAAGGTTCCCTAATGAACATGAGGTACTGCCTGATCAGTATGACACCACGGAAGGAATTCATGGATTAAATTCACCCTCAGAACTTGGAGAGAGTGGGGTGGAGGGAACAATAGGGGCAGGGCTTGAACAGGGTGAACACGAGGCAGAAAGAATTTATAAAAAAACAACCTGTCAGCAATCCAAGAATTACAGTGTCAAACAAGTAACTGCTTAAGGTAAATTGACAGAAATGACCTTTCCCTATTCAATTCACCGGTAGCAAAATACAACGATATCTAAAGATCTCAACGGTAGGTCCCTTTTCTTGATTTAATGAGCAGTACTGCATTTTATTGCAAAAATGCGGTGTGGGGAAGTTGAGATTAGGGATGTGTTTCTGGGAAGTGAATAGAAGTGTGGTGTTTGGCAGGAGTGTAGAGAAGGTTTTAGTTTTCTTTAGTGTACGGTTGTGGGGTTGTGGGTGATGGAGGTGGTGGTGGGTTGGTAGGTGTTGGGGAGAGGAGGGAAGGGGAGAAGCTTTGAAAAAAAGGAGCTGAAAAATAACGAGACTGACAGAGAGGCTGAAAGCAATCAATGACATTAGAAGGCAGTATGGGCACAGAGGGGACCAATCAGGATTCTCTACAAAAGTAGTTACATTATACAGTATATTTGCTACATTGAGGAGACAGATAAGTCAGTTAGTGTAGTAAACCAGGATTAGGAACCAGAAGAGCTGCTAGGACAGTGAGTCACACAAAATTGACAAAATAGACAAAAGGAGTATAGCTAAACATAGAAACTATTCACACAACAGATAAGTGAGACAGAAGGCATGTATTATAGCTATGAGTTGTGTACACACATTTTGTTGTGTTACAGTGAATTTAGTAATCCATTGTTTCTGAATGTCAGGAATATTTTCCAACATATCACTGCTCTCTGTATGAAAACGGACCTCTGTTTGAAGTGGTTTATCCCTTCTGGACTGGATGCCTATTTGTGGAATGGGCTATTCCAGGAGTTTGGTTGTTATTTGATCAGGAATTTGACAAAGTTTGAATGCACTCATTAGTTTTAGCTAACCCTATTGCAGCTCACAGCTTAGAAACCCCCAGCAATTTAAAACTGCTTTCCATCAGTAATAAAGCATGGTAACTGCATGCATAAATATAGTTTGCAGGACTTACTCTCAGCACTCATCTTTCTACGGACAGGATTAGTGCACAATACAGAATTGAATTCCAGTAAGGAGGTACAGACCCACACTGCTTTAATGCTACAGATTATTTGATCTGAAATAGTTATATTTCACTTTACACGGACTTTGATCAAACACTGTTCAAAATCATAATCCCATTTTGTAACAACCAAGTGGCAGGAGGAGCTGAATCCCAATTTAATTCATGTATGGTCAGGGGCTTTCACAGACTAGAAGAAGAATTGAAACACTTTTCAAAAAAAAAACTATATATAATTGGGGCACAGCTTTAATTGCAAATAGACTGAAGCTGTTCAAGAAGAACACCCAATAACACATTCCTAGCAATAAATACAGTCAGGCAGGATTGCCTCAATCCAGAGAACAAATTTATAAATAATTAGGATTTTAACAAGCACTTACAGCCACAAACTGATTGTTTTCCAATTTGATTATGTCTCCTACCCGGACATTCATCCATTTCTCATTCTGTAGCCTGGGCAAAAACATGCAGAACATGTTACAATTGTCCCCCACTCAACAAGTCACTTCTGTAGAATACACACACTACACAGAACATACCGATCATTAAAAAAGCCTTGCTTGTTTTCAATCCTCCACATGCCCATGTGTCTCCTGTTTTTATGGTCATGACATTGGGATAGTTGGGAACTGGGAAACTGACTCTTTTTCTATTTCTTGTAAACAGCTTCAACAAAGAACCTTCTCAGTTCAGCAAAATCATTTGTACATCCTCCTATACACTGTGAAGAGAACAATTTACTGTACTAGTGGCATTTTCTTTGTGTAAATATTCATGTCCAAAGTGTGCACTCGTGTTGGAAAATGAAACACTTGGCATTTCAGGTACCCAGGGCAGGATTTTCCCAGCATTCTCCGAGCCCCACATTCAGGCTTGAATGTATGTTAGAAGCCCACATACTGAGTACGAACCATCACTTGGAAGCCAATCACCATCCAAAGAGCAAGCTCACCATCGACTTAAGGGCAGTGGGTGGGCTCACGAAGCCAACAGGAGGCTTCTCAGCTTAAAAGGAACATCAGGCGACGACTTGAGACAAGTAAGGGAGACGGAGCTTCAACATGGAGGTGCCTTCTCTCCAATTAGTCTTTATTCAAAACTCAAAATGGGTTTCGCAGCCTGGTGACCACTGTGGGGGCGTGCCTCTGTACACTCACAGTTGATGAAGGACGCAGACTGTAAGGACAAGCAGTCGGGAAAACCTGTTCTGGTTATATACCTCATCAAAAGAAAGAAAAAAGAGGCAAATGTGATCTATTTCCTACACAAATGTTCCTGTCTTCACTCTGAGTGAGATTGCCATGTTAGTGTCAAATTAGCACAGGTTTCGTATTCCACAGCCACATTCACTGGGAAATGAATGGAGAGATCCGAAAATAGCTCTTTACAGTCAGCACATGTACAAAATACTTCATCCCTACAATATCAGCTGGATTTGGACAGAGGTTCCAGAGACAAGAAGCTGGTGTTCTAATTGTTAGTTGTACTTATACGCAGATGTATTCATTAATTAGGCCTTTCACTTCAGCATATCTGAATGCATCATTTCCTGCTTCAAACAAATGTTAATTCAATGTTTTTCAAGCTCCCTTTAAGGATTTGATTTTCATTAAACTGCCCCTTTAAGGGGCTGTCACTTGTTAATTTGTTTAGTTGATTTAATTTAGATTCATTAAGGTTCAAAACCATTGTATAGTGACATTTACTGAACAGTAGAATGATTGCATTAGGAGATATATAATTTACAATGCTTATAATTTTGATCTTCATAAATAAATGCAAGATTGAGTAAAGATCAGCTCTAGCAGTATCCTTCACCAGCTAGCTTTCTGAAATAGAACACTAACCAATAAGCAAAGCAACCTATCCTCTTGAAGTGAACTTCCTGCACATGCCATCATTCTGGCCAACGTGGGAATGAATATTGTAATGCCAACTATGCTGCAACTTGGACACTTTCATTCCCTTCAAGTTATACCAACTACAGCGGAAAGGAGACTAATTGGACCTTGTTATGCCATGCTTCTTCATTAATGGCATTCATGAGAAGGTCACAGACTGATGCCATCTGTTTGGAATGTCAGAGTAATTTGAAATTGAAAAAATGCCACACTCTCTTTTAAGCATTTAACTTCAATAAGCAGAAATGTTACAGTGCAGCTATTGAACTTAATTATCAAATAGATGGGTGAAAATATAGAAATTGAATTAATACTCTATGAAATTTGTAATCACGTTTCCCTCTCTGTGGTATCAAGTTTGTTGAGTCTTTGTATTGTAGGTTGCTGACTTCACTCTATTGGAAATTGGAGTCCCTTTAAAACTGAATTTTTCTAGTACTTTCTGCATTGTGGGAGCCCTGATACAATGGCTGTTATCGCAGTATTATAGCCTTCAACATTTCTACTGAAAAAGGATAAAAGTTATGAGAAACGTCACAAGATTCACTTAGATTACTGGAGACACAATGTTCCCTTAAGTTGACAGGAAAGATTGACCAATATAACACCTTGTGTACCCTCTCATCAATGCAATGGTTAGGACAATAGAAATTTTGTTCTATAAAGATTGATAACGAACCTTGAGACAAAGGTGAGCAAAGGACAATGGGCATTCTTACAACATGAATAGCTGTTCTGTGGTCATTGGCTAGAATGTCACAACAGTGACTGACACAGCGTAAATTGCCAACCCCCTAGAAACAGGCATTATCGATAAGTACTCAGGGTCACAGGGCAGTCGTTATCAGGCAGTCCTTGTAGGTGACCTCATCAGGATGCTGTTCTAATTTAAAGATTGAGGGAAAACCCAGGGAAAAGTCCCCTCACTCTTCATCTATAGAGCAGGGTGTTGTCTTTATAACTTTAATGAGACCGACACACTCTGTGCCAACTGCCTGTTCGTCTTTTGGTATCCGCAGACTATCCTCAATGGTCATGTTTGTACAGTTTTCTTTGTCTCATTGACTAATATATCATACATAAATTGTTGCTGAACATTTTAAACTGAACATTTTATCTGAAAGTTCCTTACAAATGGAACTGCCAATGTTGGATGACTGTGATCATAAACCCCCAAAACGCAACAAGTCTCACGCCGACCCATTATTTATCCAGTGTAATTCTTAATGCTGCCAGGTGGCTAATTACCTCTGCAGTGTTGAGAGAGCAGAATAATACATTCCTGGAATCAAAATAACAGCATCTCAAACTCATCCTAATTAAACAATAATCTTGAAGAGTACAGAGATAAAGTTGAGTGTATAGTGTACCTGAAGGCCTACTGCACTTATTGGAATCTTTACGCTCACAAGCCCTGGCAGAGAAGCAGAAGCACTTCCTACAATTAGCTTCAATTATTTATTCTGGTGTTTCATCTATGGTCTTATATACATCTGTCGTGTTAACTCGAAGGTAGCCCTGTAAATGTATGTTGATTGCATTTTCCTAAAAGCTTTAATTAACCTAATTAGCAAACTTAAACTTCTGCAATCAGCTAAACTTAATTTAATTTTGAAAGCGGTGGAAGTATTTGGAGAATAAGGAACGAACACTTGAAGAACAAATTGTGTAACCCACACGTATTCTGTCCCGAGAATAGTTACCTGCAACTTGCAGTCAACATCAGGAACAAAATGTAAACACCAAACAATTTATAAATGGATTAAAAATTATTCATGGAATATGACATTTAAATCAAATGTGGCTTGATGGAGTATACTATTTTACAATTTTTTTTCAATAAACCTGGAGGAAACAAATTCCCTAATAATAATGTGCTGTTGCATGAAGCATCTTAAGCTAATAATGGACTAGCATCCCAGAAATTAGAATTCAATCAATCGTCTAATTTACGGGCCAGCATCAGAAAGGTATCCATGAAATTTGCCAAACCAATGTAAGAAAATCATCTAGGTCAGTAGTATGGAATCATTATACAAGATAGCAGGAGGCTATTTAACCCGTTGAATATGTACTGACTCTTTCAAAGAGTGACTCAGTGAATCTCAATTACCTACACTTGCCTCGAGGCATTGTTTTCTGAAGAAGGGTCTAGACCCGAAACATCAGCTTTCCTGCTCCTCTGATGCTGCTTGGCCTGCTGTGTTCATTCAGCTCTACACCTTGTTATCTTGAGGCATTGTATTGTTTTTCCTTCAAGTATTCATTCTCCCTCTTGAAAGCTTTATTTGAATCTATTCCCTTCACCTTGTCAAGCAGCACATTCTGAATCTCAGTCAATCAGGGCGTCCAACATCTGCAGTTCTCACTATCTCCGAGCAAAGTTTGTTTTTCTCGTTTTGCACTGATTTGTAAATGTGCCATCCGATTGTTGACCCGTCTGCCTGTTCCTCTTTCTTTACTCTATACCTCAATCCTCTTAGTTTTCTTTGCTCTAATATCCTTCCAGGGGCCACTCGCCTGTCACACACTCGACTCAACGGCTCTAGTCCCAGACTGCATGGCTTTTTTCAATGCTTTTAAGGCAACCAAGGATTTCACACTGCCCACATCCTCAGAGCACAAGCTAAACGGCCACCAGCTAATCAAGTAATATGGTCCATGCTATAGAAAAGATAACTTGCCCCTTCCTCCAGGAGAAAACGCAAAGGACAAACAGACAGGGCTACAACATGCCCTCTATCAGCATGGAGTTATTTTATAGTTATCAATTATATCACACTGATAATGGCACTACATCAGAATTTAAAACCTACCCTTTACCAACTCTGACTTCAAAGACAGAGTACCAACTGAACAGATTTGCTGGTAAATCAGAACTGCACATGCAAGTACATTTATAGTTTTGTTTTTGCCGACAGTTTATTATCACATTGCAAAGTAAGTGCTACCATCTGGCAGAAAAAGATTGTTCTATTGAAGAAGATTTGACATGTAAGGAGGGGACAGATGAATAGAAATCATGGGAGACAACAAGGTGCAGGGCTGGATGAACACAGCAGGCCAAGCAGCATCATAGGAGCAGAGAGGCTGACGTTTCAGGCCTAGACCCTTCATCAGAAAAGGGGGAGGGGAAGGGGGTTTTGAA